TTGATTAATATTATATTTAATTGTGAACAATAAGATATTATAAAAATTTAATCTTCATTCATAAGCATATATCGGTATGATATCAACAAATACTAGCATAACTATTTTATTATTATGCATAAAACAGGATTATAAGTTAGAGTAGTGTTGCAGGGAATATTTCAAGCATCCCAAACTCGAACCCCACTGTGATCATACACTTAATCATGGTGGCGTCCAAAGGGAAGGAAACAAGAGCAAACGAGTCGCCAACAAGCTTTAGGAACTTGTAAACTGTTCACAGGGTGAAGGTTACACCCCTTCACGATCCATGAGATCGTTAACTCCATAGTAGCCCGGAACCATGACTGGATATTCGGGGATGAAGGTACGAATCCAATCTAAAAGAGATTGAACCCGCCCTATAAAATAGGCCTCTACTTTATTTTTCTCATATTCATGTGCGCTTTCTGACTAACATGCAATCATTAGGTTAATCCTAAACCTGTTTAATCTATGTTAGTCAATTAATAATGCACAAATAAATCTATTATTGACGACCAATTGAATTAAAATCATATTAACCTAAACCAAATTATTAATTATCTTATTAGGCGTGATTTCAAGTACATATTCCTTTTAAACCTGCAGAAAAGGCGTGATCAAGCGATAACAATAATATATACCAAACAACATAATAATATATTGACTCAACAAATCATCAGCACAACAATCTCAATAAAGCATAATAATTTTATTAGCAAGATCCTAGGCATGATACTAACAAGATTAAATAACAAACCCTAGCATGTCACTAAACATCAAACATCAAAGCTTTAGCCCTAACATGATATAAGAAAGAATAGGAAGCACCCTAAACATGATACTAGAAAACAATAAAAACATCCTATATCATGATACCAGAAATTAGTTAAATCTAAGCATGCTTTCTACAAGAATAGAGCAATAAAACTACTCACTTTGATGCCTCGTACCTCTTTCTAATAACAAAATACACTTGTTAGTAAATTTCAATAAAATATTAAATCAAACAATTAAACTAAATAATTGAAATATGATTTGGGACCAAACCCTCAGAAATTAGCAACCTCTCATGTCGAGGGCGAAGACAACTTCGATCTTGGCTAGGTGTGTCTAGAACTAATGAATGCGGCATGGTGTATTTTGAAAAGGCTAGCTAGAAAGCAAGAGGGGGATAGAATAAGCTAATGCTTAAAAGAGAGAAAGAGAGAGAATTGATAATTGTTGATGATTTGAAAACGGGGGTTGAGGACTCTATTTATAGAAAAATAGTTCGAAAACAATAGGAAAGAGATTGAATTTGACTCAGAATAAAACTGATCCTGTTGCGAACGACAGGATCCAGCGCTAAACGACAAGCATCACGTTTGGCGATAGGGTCTATCATTAAGCGACAGACTTAGCTTGTCGTTTGGCGCTAATCAAAAGATAAAACACGCTTTGTATACGAAATCCTTTTCTTAAAACGATTAAGTAGTAGACTCCGTGTATATCAGTTTTAAAATCATATTTATCATAATAAAACACTTTATTTTATTCCGAATAGAATTCTTTAAAATATAATTATTAATCCTAATTTCATTAGGACTTAAAAGAAGCTTCTAGATTATTCTGATTCTAGATAATTCTATTAGTCAATCCTAATAACTTTAGGAATAATAATTAATAATAGGTCCTCCTCTGGATCATCGGGCCGCACATAATTTTCATTTTGGGCCCAACTTAGTATTTTGGCCATAACTTTCTCATTATTCATTGGATACAAATTTTTGCCTACACTCAGGGGTAGGCAGAGCTACCTGCACCCCCACTCCTTCCTAATGACGTCATCTTGGTTGTTTCTTCAGTTCCGAATTTCCTATGAAATGTTCATTTTCATCATTGTAAATGTTCACTTTTGTATTATTAAATGTTCAATTCTATAGAATAATTATTAAATGTTTAGTTATGCTAGTACGACATGAAATATTCAAATTATTATAATTTTTTAATCGTGTTTCTAGATGATTGTTTATAATAGTACTCAAGGGGGGAAAAATTAATTTCCTTTTAAAAAAATCAAATGAAATTGTATACCACCAAAAAGTTGAACAAATGGATATTAAATTAATGTACAATAGAACTCCACATATATTATTAACCACAATAAACTTCTTGATCCAAATCGAAAAATTCAAGCTGGTGATATTGGTTCATGTTGCATGGCGATTCCATGCCTTTTTGGTTTCCTTCTTTTTTCCATCTACCTTTTTTCCTTACTATTGTGCGGTCTAACTCACTTTATGCACGGTTATCTTAAAAACATATTGTATAGGATTTGGGGCCTGTTCACATTTATTGAACTGAACTGATTGGAGCTGAACTGAACTGATTGGAGCTGAACTGAACTGAACTGAGCTGAAATGAATATTTTATGAGAGAGGAAAATTAGGAGCTGAACTGAACTGAACTGAACTAAAATTAAGTAAATATGTACAGGCTCTTGAGCAAAAATAAATGTTGAAAATGAACGATATGAATATAAACATGGATGAATATAAAACATGGTCGATATGAAAATTAACATCTATTAGATTATAAATGAACATATATTAATTAATATATAAATGAACATATATCAGTGTGGAAATGATCATCTATTAATATAAAAATGAACAACTATTAATACAAAATAAATATGTTTACGTAATTCAACATGAATATGAACATCTATTGATATATACATGAATATATATTAGTTTGAAAATGACCATGAAAGATCATAATTGATGAACATATGCATAAAATATATATGTAAATAACTTGAAGCTATGAATATGTATGTGCTTGACCATATGTCCACATGAGAAAAGACATATATTTAAATTCAAAATTGAAATGAACATGGAATATTTGAAGAATATGACAAAAACATGAACATACATTTATCAAAATTTTAAAAATTGTATGCTAGTATGTGAAATTGTGAATGGCCATATACTATTATGTAATTGAACATCTAGAAAAATAAAAATAAACATTTATCAAATAATTTCCCACTCCAAACTATGATAAAGAATGAATGTAATTACGTGAATGACTATGTACTAATATATGAGTAAACATTTATATATAAATGAACTCTTATATTTATATAAACTTTTATATATAATAAATGAACATTTATATGCATTATTTATCTATTTAATATGTTAATGACTATATACTAATATATAAATGAACATTTATCAAAATTAAAATGAACATTCAAAAAAAAATTTAAAAAAAAAATCACTACAATTAAAATTTATCAATACTTGCATTTTTCCAGAATCTTTGTTTTTCTTCTTTGAAACTGTTTCCTTTGTTTTGCAAATAAATAAATAAATAATATATTGGTTTAATTTAATTATTTTTTACTAGAACTATTTTATTATACTTACCTTGATACATTTTCCATGGTTGATTTTTCAATTATATTATTGAATTACAATCGCAACAAAAAGTTAGTGAAACCTAGAGTTTATACTCTTTTTCGTTCCAAACTTGAACAAAATAACTTACTCTTTTTAAATTTCGCCTTTGTTTTGATGAATTTCGAAGTGAGTGAACAAATTCTTGTGATAATTTTGTAACAATTTTGCTATTAAAGCTTTTGATGAGAGAGAATATGACTGAAAAATGGGTGAGGAGAGAGAAAATGGAAAATGGGTTAGGAGAGAGAAAATGCAAAAGGAGGTTTTGATTTTTTTTTTCTTTGTAAATATAGGGGTAAAATCAGTTTGTGTGTAGTGGGTATGGAGGTAGGATGATTAAGCCTAACGTTTTAATAGAGGGTGTAGGTAGAGCTCCCTACTCTAAGGGGTAGGGATAAATAGTTACTCATTGGAATTAGGCTTATAATATAATGTTGGAAAAATCTTTTCGAGCCCAATCCAACTACACTATTATTGGACTCTTATCATGGACCAAACTAAATTGGATTGACTATTTTCATAAATAGAATAGATTTTCAAAAACGGAAAGAAGGATATTTATTTAAAACAACCGCATCACTAGACTTTTGACACATTTGAGTGTCTACAAGTGTACATTAGTATAAAAATGAAAATGATACCTTTATTTTGAAACGGAGGGAAAATCAAAAGCAGATTCTCTCTTTCAAATCTTTCAAAAAAAAAAAAAAAATCCTCCCACGTTTCAAAATAAATGCCCTATTTTATTTTTGCACTTCACTTAATGCTTTTTTTTTTTTAATCCGTGGGGAGTGTAGCAACCAACTCGGAGTCAGGTAATGGCAGAAATTATTGATAATTAAAGATATATATTACGAAATAGTCAAAGTTTTACATTGATAAATGTGTACAACATTGTTGTTAAAATCGCAATCCGAATCGTAGGATCGCACACTGTACAGTTTGACCGAGACATTTCTTTTGAAACAAAGGGGCTATGAAAACCCATATGGAGAGTTCAGTTGACAAGATTATCCAATGAGACAATTACTACTCACTATTTTATTTTTGCACTTCACTTAATGCTTTCTTTTTTTACCTGTAGGGAGTGTAGCAACCAACTCGGAGTCAGGCAATAGCAGAAATTATAGATAATTAAAGATATATATTAGGAAATAGTCAAAGTTTTACATTGATAAATGTGTATAACATTGTTGTTAAAATCACATTCCGAATTGTAGGATCGCACACGATACCGCTTGAATGAGACATTCTTTTTAAAACAGAGGGACTATGAAAACACATATGGAGAGTTGAGATGACAAGATTATCCAATGAGACAATCACTAGTCACTATTCATTCCAACAAGGTAAGCTATCTTTTGGTTTAAAAAAAAAAAAAAAAAAAAAAAAAAAGTAAGCTATCTTCTCTCTCTATCCACTTAAAGATTTCTGATGACGTGGTCCAATCAAATGATCCCAAATCACCTCCTAATAAAATCTTGAGTTTTTAGGTGCATTGTATAAAAAACAAAACAAGGTAAACAAACATGGGCAATTTGGCAATACTCAGTGCTCACTTTTAAGTGGTAACGCCTATGACAGCATTTCATTCATTGTTAGTGCACATTCTCCATTGCCTACCGCACAAATCATCCTCTCTTTTTTTTCTCTTTTTACTTCAAATTTTAACTTCATTACCAAAGAACAACCAATAACAATAGTTTTATTTCAATTGGGTATTACAATAGTTCCCATTTTGTGTAGATTTTGTTACTTTAATTTTCTGGGTTATTTGATTATTGGTTGATTTTTGATCAAGAATTTAGATTGATTTCTGGGTTTGATTCAAATTGGAAATTTGTTTCTGGGTTTTGGTTGAATTTACATTTAGAAGTTTTGAGTGTAAAAAATGGCGTTTTGTTTGAGTTCAATGGCTGTACATTTTGGTCCTGTAGTTAGTTCAGATCTGCTCAAGCCTCAATTATCAAGGAGCAAAAATCTGCAAAATCTACCTAAACAGCAGGTTGATTTTTTATGTTTTCAAATTATGCTTGGATAATTTTGGAATTTATTGGTTGTTGCACGTCTTTTTCTTCTGAATTTCATAAAAGTCATATAAATGATTAAAATTTTGTTATCATGTCATTTTGCATGTGTTGGAAATTTGATATGTTTTGCTTTGTAATTTGTACTCCTTTACTTTATTTTTTGTTCTAGTTAAAATCTTCAGTTTGAGGAGGGAGATTTGAATATATATGGAGTATATTTATATTACTGTAATATTTTATAATGAAGGTATCAATGCTCATTGCTCAAACATGTGTATTGAAAATTGTGAAAAAATAAATGTGATAAATAAAAAGGAATGGAGTAATTATGAATTATGGATAGTTTTGTAACAAAAATTGGGTTAATTCACTCAATTACATCAAACGAATGAATAAAAAGTATAACCCTTTTGCATGCATTGGATAAAACTTAAATTCTTTGTTTCAATGACGTGGAAGAGAAAAAAAAAATCATTTTTGCTTGGAATCAATGAATAATTTGGTGAAAGTAAGTGAAATTCATTGATTTGCATCAAATAATAATACGAGTTAAAAGTCTGCTCTTTTGGCTAGAATTAGTACATTGATGATTCACCCAATTTAATTCAATCTTGCTAGAATTAGATGAGTGGTTTTGTGACAAATGTGGGTTGATTCATTAATTTATGTTAGAAAACGAGATTAAAAAATCTATTCATTAATTTGTTATAACGATTTGGGTGGTAATTAAATTTATTCTTGAGAAGTGATGAGTAATTAGTTTACAAAGTATTGTTTTTTCTATTCAACATTTCAACTTGGTTCAGGTGAAAAGAAGACCTGTTAATGTAAGAGCATCATTGACAGAAAGTGGAGATTATTACTCAGAAAGACCACCTACTCCCCTTTTGGACACAATCAACTATCCCATTCATATGAAAAACTTATCTGTTAAGGTAAATTATTCTGTGTATGTTTCTGGAATTAACTAAATTAAGTTGATTTAATTCAGTATAATTTGATGATTACTCGTCAATGCAGGAGCTTAAACAATTAGCAGATGAGTTACGGTCTGATGTGATCTTCAATGTGTCTAAAACTGGCGGTCACCTTGGTTCCAGCCTCGGGGTTGTGGAGCTCACCATAGCTCTTCATTATGTCTTTAATGCACCTCAAGATAGGATATTGTGGGATGTTGGTCATCAGGTATTGATCTGAACTTATCTAGTTATCTTTTGTTTTCGAATGACAGGCAATGTTGATTCCAACACTTTTACTCAAAAAATTTGTAGTGGCTACATGAATATTTTGAAACGAAAGATCTACTCTAATGATCCTTTGTAGTGTTTTGTTATGCCTCGACAAACATTTATTACTTTGATTACAATAATTTTCTAGCCATTGTAAAAGCTTACATAGAATATCCTTAATTCTAGTAAATGTGGCTAGCAGCTGAGTTCTATTTTTAAAAGCCCATTAAATGCATACTTATTATGGATGAAGTTTAAAACATGCTTTTAGAGGGTGTGATGTGAGAGGGGTTTTTCTTGATAATTACATCCGGTAATACGTGCTTTTCATTATTTGCAGTCTTACCCACACAAGATCCTCACTGGAAGAAGAGATAGGATGAGAACATTGAGACAGACGAATGGATTGTCAGGATTTACAAAGCGCGGGGAGAGTGAATTTGATGCCTTTGGTGCAGGTCATAGTTCCAACAGCATTTCTGCTGGCTTAGGTAAATTCCTATTCTTAACATCACATTTTTCTTTACTTGGATAATTGGTTTCAACAATCAAGGACGTAGGTTACATTCTCTTCAACTAAATAAGGTGTTGTAAATTGTAATATGAATTATCTAATCTTTGGTTTGGTCTGTATTATACTGGTTATATCTGATTTTTTGGTTTGACTGAAACTTGACTTTCATAATTTCATACTCTAATGCTTTAGAAAAATAATTTATAAGGATGTAGATTCTTAGATTTGTTTAAATATGTACTTTCGAAATATCTATTTTTTTTCGTTATTTTTATTAAAAATGAATTGAATATATTTTGCTTTGCAATAGGCAGATGGTGGTAAGAAAATCTGCTATGGTCTGATACTTGTGAGAATAATGAATGTAATTCTTATTAAACTTAACTTTGATGTTATTTACACCAATCCTTAAGAAAAAGAATTATCAAATAAGATGTCATCAGATTAGTATTCACGTGTATTTTTCAAATATGAAATGATCGTAATTAATTTTAATACAAAAAGAAAAATCTGGACTCGTGTATAGCTAATGATGCAATGCTGTATATGTTTATATTGCTTTCGAAACATCCTTTGAGCCTAGCTGAGTCATTGGACTCTGGCACTTTCTTAAAATATTTAAAATTTTCTATTTCTTTGTCAATAGTGATGGGAGCATTTGACTGAAATATTTATTGACTGAAGAATAAAGTCTAATTGACAGTTGCTTTATACTTCGTACATTATTAACTTCTATTGGCTTCTGAAAAGATTATAAAGTTTTATTCCCTTGCAGGTTAATAAAATTTGACCTCATTTAACTTGATATTTTGCTAGTTCTTGCTCGTTTACTAAAAAGATTGTCGGGTTGTTATCATTTGTATAGGTATGGCCGTAGGAAGGGATCTAAAGGGTAGACAGAACAACGTAGTTTCCATTATAGGCGATGGTGCCATGACTGCCGGCCAAGCCTTTGAGGCAATGAATAATGCAGGATACCTGGACTCTGACATGATTGTCATTCTCAATGACAATAAGCAGGTCTCTTTACCCACTGCCAGTTTGGATGGGCCTATTCCTCCAGTTGGAGCTCTTAGCAGTGCATTGAGTCGATTGCAGTCGAACAAGCCTCTTCGAGAATTAAGAGAAGTTGCCAAGGTATTGTGTGAAATAGAGTACATGTTTAAGCAAAAACTCAAACTTAGGGAGTAAACAAGGTATTGACTGGCATGATTGATGATTTTTGTCATCATTGACTTTATTGCAGGGAGTAACCAAGCAAATAGGAGGGCCCATGTATCAGCTAGCTGCCAAAGTTGATGAATATGCCCGAGGCATGATCAGTGGTACAGGATCAACTTTGTTTGAAGAGCTTGGACTCTACTACATTGGTCCTGTTGATGGTCATAATGTAGATGATCTTGTAGCTATACTTAAAGAGGTTAAGAGTACAAAATCCACAGGTCCAGTGCTTATCCATGTCGTGACAGAAAAAGGAAGAGGTTACCCTTATGCCGAGAAAGCTGCAGACAAATACCACGGTATACATATCTTTCCAAATGTCAGTTTTAGGCCACAGTACTAATAATAATGAATGAAAGGCTGGCCATTAAATTAACTATTTTTTTAATATCAAATTTCGATGTTGTCGTACTTTAAATTTTTGTACATTTTGTATTTTCATGGAATTTTTTAATGAATTTGTTATTAGAATGATGAAGAAACTAAAGCTAATAATTCACTTGGATAATGTGCATGATTGTTGTTTAAAACATATTTCTCATCGTGTAGGGGTGACCAAATTTGATCCAGCCACTGGCAAGCAGTTCAAAGGCCAATCACCTACTCAGTCTTATACAACATACTTTGCCGATGCATTAGTTGCAGAGGCAGAGGTGGACAAAGATATAGTTGCTATTCATGCTGCCATGGGTGGTGGAACAGGCTTAAATCACTTTCTACGACGCTTCCCTTCACGCTGCTTTGATGTTGGAATAGCTGAGCAACATGCTGTTACTTTTGCTGCTGGATTGGCTTGTGAAGGTCTCAAACCTTTTTGCGCAATTTACTCATCTTTCATGCAAAGGGCATATGATCAGGTAAAACTTCTTGTCATCTTCATCGCATTCTTTAAAGATCACTTTATTTACTGTTCCTCTGGTAAAGCTTTTTGCTAAAAGTCACGTTGATTTTATGTACAGGTAGTTCATGATGTGGACTTACAAAAGATACCAGTGAGGTTTGCTATGGACAGAGCAGGCCTTGTAGGATCTGATGGCCCTACACATTGTGGCGCTTTTGATGTAACATTTATGGCTTGCCTCCCCAATATGATAGTAATGGCGCCATCAGATGAGACAGAACTATTCCACATGGTCGCCACTGCTGCTGCTATTGATGATAGACCTTCTTGCTTTCGTTACCCCAGGGGAAATGGAATCGGTACAGAGTTGCCACCAGGCAATAAAGGCATTCCACTTGAGGTGAGCCTTGGCTTTAATTTTGTACTCCTACTGTCCTACATGCTGATTGATAACGTTTTTTTCCTTTACATTAAGTATTCTCATTAGAGTTAAAATCTTATGTGACAGATTGGACGAGGCAGGATATTGAAAGAAGGCGATAGAGTAGCACTCCTAGGTTATGGTACAGCAGTTCAGTACTGCATGGCTGCAGCAGCTTTGGTTGAATCTCGTGGCTTGAATTTGACCGTAGCAGATGCCCGCTTTTGCAAACCACTAGACCATGCACTAATCCGTAGTCTAGCAAAATCCCATGAAATTCTAATCACTGTTGAGGAAGGATCTATTGGAGGTTTTGGATCTCATGTTGCCCAGTTTATGGCTCTTGATGGCCTTCTTGATGGAAAACTAAAGGTACATATATGGTCAACATATTGTTTTTTAATTTAAAAGGTGTAAACTCTTTATATCAGTAAATTCATCTATAAAAAGATTTGAATAGCAGCATGTGGTAATTTACATACTAAAACTCTTGATAAGATGTGGAAGTAGTTATACTAATTCCCTGTGTTCTTACTTGCATCTTTTTAATTTGTCTGCAGTGGCGGCCTTTGGTCCTCCCAGATCGATACATTGAACATGGCGCACCAGGAGACCAGTTGGCTGAAGCAGGGCTTACGCCATCACATATTGCTGCGACAGTATTCAATATTCTTGGGAAAACAAGGGAGGCTCTTGAAGTCATGACATAGAATGAAAAACTTTCAAGCCATTATTTACAAGTGACATACAAGTTGCACCGCTATGTTTTATCGCTTGTGATTGAATAGGTGACTGTTAGATTGGTACATAAGTAGTGAGTTTGTAGCATGGAAACCACAGATGATGTAGCATGGTAGCTATTTCGATATTTAGCACCTTCAGAAAGTTTATAGATGTCCCTAGTCGACGTAATACATGGAAAATATGTCGCAGCTAGTGGAGATGTACATAGTTTTATTGATGTAGCAATTGGGCAAAGTTATAACCTGCCTTTACATTAGCAAAGAAAGCGGAAACTATTTCAAGGTAGTTGAAGATTATAAGTGCATATATGCTGACAGATAAATCAAATGAGCTTTGAATGAAGTTGTAAAACAGGAAGTTGGGGTTATTACTAAATGGTAGAGTTTGTAAAGACTGATTTACCCATGATACGTACGATTCAGAGGCTCTGGATTCGAATGAAGCTTTTGTTATTGCATCGGAAAGCTGCAGGCTTTGATTTTTTATCCTACTTGTTAGACTCTTACAAGTACTTAGATAGAACAGATGAACAAGCTGGCGATAATTGAATTAGATCCAAGGAGGAAGAGTTACCTCCATAAATCACAATCGGAGATTTCCTACTCACTCCAAGAGTTCACATTATTCTATCGCTATTGCTAAACTAATCTAGGCTACTAAACCTAGAAGGGTAAGAAACTAAGAAAGCTTAAAGAAACATAAAGTACAGTTCGATTATATAGACATCTCTAATGAAAGTTACACATTGTTTATTATCTTTGGATTATTTTAATAAAATGGCTAATTTAACAAAAGTATCTACCAAAACGGCTATTTATAAATTTTAATTCCAAAACTAGCTAATTATTCACTTTGAAGGAAATTAATTTTTCCGCCTTTTCTTTTTCATTGAACCGATTAAATTATTTTTCCTTTGTTTCTTAAAAAAAAATTGTGTTTTTAAATTTACTTCAATTGTTGTTTTACTTCAAATTTTGTTCCATAGAGACTTGATTGGTTCCTTTAAACTCCTCTCACACACCTCAACATTACATGTACGTCTCCCATGCTTTCTCAAGCAGAACCATAGTCTCTTGATGACAAACCATTTATGGTTGATGAGTGGATTGGGGTTGAAACATGTTTGCACTTTTGAGCGTTGTGATATCAACTTTTGATTCGCAAGGTTAGACCATTTTTGCTCATTACATTGCATTCTCTCACAAGATATTCTTCGCTCATCAAAATACTTGTTAAGTCGTTAGAAAGTACTCCGTAAGTTGCAAAAGAGCGATGATTCGTAAGTCAAACTACGAGTCCCTTTTAGAACATTACGGAGTAATAAAATACTCCGTTATTGTGGTGATTCCATATCATTTTCCCTCATCATTGCATAGAGCCCGCTTTTCTAGAGGTATGTAATCCCATCGTTTCCTAGCTCGTTGATTTATGGTTTCAATGGTATACATACACTCATTGAACTTGCAATTGTAAAGCAACTTTGTGTATTGCATTTTTTAGGTGCTTAACATGGTTCTTTCAAAAAAAAAAATTAAAAAAAAAAATGCTTAACATAGAACTCACTTTGGAACAAAAATAATAAAAAAGAAAAGACTAAAATATAACTGAACCAAAACTGTTCAAAGAAACGGTGCAGTGGAAAAGAAAAAAAAAAAAAAAAGAAATGAAAGTCATCCTCTTCCAAGCCAATAAATTAAATTAGGCTAATTAGCTAGTATTGGAATTAAAATTTATAAATAGCCGTTTTGGTAAATATTTTTGTTAAATTAGTGTAGGGAATATTTCAAGCATCATAACCCCAAGCTTGAACCCCACTGTGATCATACACTTAAGTATGGTGGCGTCCAAAGGGAAAGAAAAGAGAGCAAAAGAGTCGCCAACAAGTTTTAGGAACTTGTAAACCGTTCACGAGGTGAAAGTTACACCCCTTAACAATCCATGAGATCGTCAACTCCAAAAGTTCTTGAGCCAAATAGAGTTCGGGGATGAGGGTACAAAATCCAATCTACAAAAGAAGGAACTCGCCCTATAAATAGGCCTTTACTTTATTCTACTCGTATTCATGTGCGCTTTTTGACTAACATGCAAACATTACATTAGCCTAAACCTGTTTAATTTATGTTGGTTGAATATTAATGCACAAATAAATCTATTATTAGCGATCACTTGAATTAAAATCATATTAGCCTAAACCAAATTATTAATTATCTTATTAAGCGTGATTTCAAGTACAAATTCCCTTTAAATATGCATAAAAGGCGTGATCAAGTAATAACAATAATAAGCAACATAATAATAATAATCATAATTATAATCAAAATCATGTTAATAATAAAGATTAATAATAGCAAGATCCTAGGCATGATACTAACAAGATCAATAACAAATCCTAGCATGTCATTAAACAATAAAGATCAAAGATTTAGACCTAACATGGTACTAACATGCCAACATGATATTAGAAATAATAAAAGGCACCCTAAACATGATTCTATAAAGCATTAAATAACATCCTAACATGATACTAGGAATTAAAATAATATAAGCATGCTTTCTACAAGAATAGAGCAATAAGATTACATACTTTGATGTCTCGTACCTCTTTCTAATAACAAAATACACACATTAGTAAACTTCAATGAAAATAATAAAACCAAAGAATTAAATTAATAAATTGAAAGAAAGAATTAAAAAGTTTAAACTGGATTTGGGACCAAACCCTCAGAAAAGTATAAACCTTTCACGTCTAGGGCGAATGCAACTTCGAACTTGGCTAGGTGTTTCTAGATCTTGTGTATGCGGTATTGTGTTTGTAAAAAGCTAGTTTAGAAAAAGAGATAAAGAAAACATGAATTGCTCAAGAGAGAATAGAGAGAATTGGTGATTGTCAATGAATAAAAACGGAGTTTCGACCCTATTTATAATAAAAATATCTCGGAAAAGCATAAAATTTGATAAGGAATAAAACTACAAGATGTCGCCGCAAAACCACTATGTCGCTTGGCGACAGAGTCTGTCGCGTGGCGACAGACCTGTCATTTGGCGACAGCTTGGTTTTCACGCGCTTTCCACGCGGAATCCAATCTTTAACCAAACTGATCTATGGAATCCGTACATAAGCTAAAATCGTTTTTTAATAAAATAATAATATTTTATCCCAAATAAAATTCATCATAATATAATTATTAATCCTAACTCTATTGGATTTTAAAAGAACCTTCTAGATAATTCTAGAAGATCATAATTAATCCTAATAATTTTAGGGATAATAATTAACGTTGGGCCCTCCTCTAGATCATTGGGCCGCATGTAAAGAACAAACCAGACCCAATTTAGTATTTTAGCCATAACTTCCTCATTATTCATCGGAATTGGGCTTATAATATATCGTTAGAAAGCTCTTTCCAAGCGTCATCCAACTACACTATTATTGGACCCTTGTCACGGACCAAACTAAACTGGATTGGCTATTTTCATAAAATAGAGTTGTTTTCAAAAACAGAAAGAAAGAATTTTAATAAAAACTAACCGCAACACTTGACTCTTCACACTTTCACCTCATTCGATTATGGTTCTACGCGAAAAGTATTCATCACTGGGTTTGGTTTGGGGAGACACAAATGGGTGTCTACAATTAGCCATTTTGGTAAAAGATCCATTATCTTTGTCGTTTCTTCTTTTGGTGCCGAATTTATTCTAAAGTTTACATTCGTTATATCTTCTAAGTTTCGAGTTTTTTTGAGGCCTTTATTCTTTAGGTTGGGTTGTGTGATTAACTTGATATTGAGCCCAACAACTTAGGGTTCAACGTGAATTGTGAAAAATTTTGCCTACACCCTGAAGCAGGCAGTGATACCTGCACCCCCGCTCCTTCCTAATGACGTCATCTGGGTTGTTTTTTCCGTTCTGAATTACCTATAAAATGTTCATTTTCATCATTGTAAATGTTCACTCTTGTATTATTAAGTTCAAATCTATAGAATAATTATTAAATGTTCAGTTATGCTGATACTTCATGAAATATTTTAAATAATTGTAGTTTTGTATTTGTGTTTCTAGATGACTATTATAGTAGTACTCAAGGACAAAGAAAAAGTTCATTTCCTTCTTAATAAAATCAAATGAAATTGTATACCACCAAAAATTGAACAATTGGATATGAACTATACAATACAATTCCACTTATATTATCAATTAAACACAATAAACTTCTCAATCCAAATTCGAAAAATTCAAGATTGTGTTATTGGTTCATGTTGCGGTGATTCCACGCCTTCTTGGTTTCCTTCTTTTTGTCATCTTCCTTTTTTCCTTGCTATTGTGTGGTCTAACTCACTATATGTACGATTCTTTTTTAGCAAAAAAATAATAATAATAATACTGTATTAGATTTAAGCAAGAATAAATGTTAAAATGAACCAATTTCAATTGACATGATTGATATGAAAATTAACATCTATTAGTATATAAATGAATATATATTAATTTATAAATGAATATATATTAAATTATAAATGAACATGTATTAGTGTGGAAATGATAATCTATTAATATTAAAATGAACAACTATTAATACAAGAATGAACATATTTACATAATTCAGCATGAATACGAACATTTATTAATATAAAATGAACATATAATAGTTTGAAAATGACCATAATGATCAATGAACATATACATAAAATATATACGTAAATATATAAACACTCTTGAAGATCTGTGATTGACTATATATCCACATGAGAAAAGACATATATTAAAAGTAAAATTTAAAATGAACCTGAAATATAAATATTTGAAGAAGACATGAACATTTATCAAAATTTTAATAAATGTATGTTAATATGTGAAATTGTGAATGACTATATACTATTATATGATTGAACATCTACCAAAATAAAAAATAAACATTTATCAATATATTTTTCATTCCAAACTATGATATGATAGTATACTAATATATAAATGAACATGCGTAAAAAAATTAGGGTTTTTCTAAGGTATGCCCCTCTAGTTATTTGATTTCTAAGCTGTATCCATGCTTTTTCAAAGTTATAGGTTGTGCCCTCCACCTCACGATATTTTATCAACAATACCCTTTGACAGTCATATCCGCTAACGAAAGTTAAGTTATTTTATCAATAATGGTGTCGTGGCGTTATTAATTAGACACGTGTCCCGTCCTAATTGGTTTAAACACTTTAAAAAAATTTAAAACATCAGAAAATAAAATAATAAAAAAGGTTATTGTTAACGTCAAAGGCTATGGTTAATAAAAATTAGTGAAGTTGAGGGCACAGCTTAGACGTTTGAAAAAGCATGGGCACGACTTAGAAACCGAAGAAGTTTGGGGGCATAACTTAGAAAAACCTAAAAAGTTATAAAAATAAATTTACTACGAACCAATTTTATTAATACTTATATGCCTCCAGAAT